AGTGTTTGTTTGTTCCTCTAGATGACCTGATGGTTGATCTATTAGCCTAACCCTTCTTCATTTATGATAAGTCCGTGATTTCATTTATTATGCTACTTTCACACCTAAAGCAGCAGGAGCAGCAAAAACGCGCATCCTGCTTCATTTGATGCTTCTACAAGTTTAGTTCTGACGCATGGCTGAAGCATCTCTGCTGCTCTAGCTGCGCGGTGGGAAAGTTCTGATGCACGGTGGGCGGAGCTACCCTATCATTTCTTTGCCTGTAACAATAGCGGCTATATTTGCTGTGATCAGCAGGTAAAAAGTAGTTTTTAATATGTTCTTAAGTGACAAAGTCCACCTTAAAACTTAATCTTTGCAGTCAGTTCATCCAGATTACCATCCTGCCTTCAAATATTATTTCACTGTCTGAGCTGCTCAGACCCCCGTACACCAGCGGTGTTCTGTCACTAGGAATCCCATTCAACCGCAGCCTATGGCCTGGTCGCCTCTTGGCGGTTTGCCGTAGCGGCTGGAAGGCGGTTTTGATGTACGTAATTCAAACTGCAGGAACCAGGATAATAAAATCAAACATGTTTTCCCGGCAGATTTCATTTTTTTAAGTTCAATTAGGCGTTACTGTTTAAGAGGAGTGATCATAGTGATCTGCATCATCAGTGCTGTGTCTGTCTCCCTTCCAGCTCCCAGATAACCTCCTTGATTGGTTGATGTGGCGCGTCAAGCAGCAAAAGTTAAATTTTTCCATCTCCAGCAGCTGCTGCGTTTGCAGCGTGTTCAGCACTTTAGAAACTCAGAAGCTCACAACGCGCTGCTTCAGCTGCTCCAAACGTGCTACAGGAGCTTTTGTTGCACCTTGATGAACGTCAACCATTGACTTTGCATGTAAACTAGCTGCTCATGCTGCCTCTGCTGCTTTAGGTGTGAAAGTAGCATTATTGTTCTCTGAATTTATTTCTGCCCTTGATTTGATCTTAGTGAGGCTTTACCTGTTTACAGGTATAAACCTATAGTGCAGGATAATCAATTAAAATCAGTGGGGTCCGAATAAAGAAAATCATCAACCAGTAAAATTTTATTACTAATCTGTTACTTTAAACCAGGGGTCTTCAACGTTTTCCAGGCCAAGGACCCCTAAGCTGATGGCGAGATGGAGCGGAGACCCCCTAATTATATATATTNCATTATATTGAGTTACTATCTCATTATAATGAGAAACTATCTCATTATATTGAGATACTATCTCATTATAATGAGATACTATCTCATTATATTGAGTTACTATCTCATTATATTGAGATAGTTTTTTTTTTTTTTTTTTACAGAGTGGCGGAAACGGGCTTCCATACAATACCACTTAAGCCATCACCTTATTTTTTAAAAATAGTTAATAAAATACAATTTGTAAAGGAAAAAATGAAATAGATGTAAAGGACCTTTCAGTAACCATGCTTGTTGCAGGGCAGATCATCTTTAGAAATTCTTTGAGTATTATGTTTTCAGTACAGGGGCCATAACAGGGGCCAGGACATTATCTACAGGGGCCCTGGCCCCCGTTGGCCCCAGTCTAGAACCGCCCATGAGTATAATCGAGGGTGACCCGGATGAATATCTAGTTCTGCATGCGCAAATGAGCTGATTGCATAATTACATGAAGGAAAAATGATGTCCCCTGAAAATTTGAGTGAGCGGGGAGCGGGAATTGCGTGGCGCTCCACTCTGTGCACATGCTCTGTGGGGGTCTGAGCGGCCCCAACAGAGAAATAATATTAGAAGGCAGGATGGTAATCTGGATGAACTGACTGAACAGATGATGCTTTCAGGACGACTTTCTCACTTTAAAATATATTCAAAATACTTTTTTACCCACTGATCACAGCAAATCTAGTAAAGCTGCTCTCTGCCATTGAACACAGGAGCAGCAGAAGCATCAGACGCATCTGGACACACTTTACTGGACGTCTGACCTTAATGTAGACAAGCATCAGGAATGAAGCAGCAGGAGCTTTTCTAATGCCTAAATGTGAACATAGCATTAGAATGTTTGGTTCCCTGCTGGTTTCTGTTTTTTCAGACATTTGCTAAAGTTTGGGGTTTACCAATTAGGAGAAAATAAGGACTTACTCTTCCCACAAATCCAAACTGCACTTTGTCCCAGCCTCCCATTGGCTCTGGCAATGAGAGCCCTCTCACCCAATAAGGCCCCCCGTGGGCAAAGCCTGGGCCCAATAAGAAGGCCCCTGGGGCAAGGCTGGGGGATTACCAGCTGAAACCTGCAGATTGAGCTCCAGGGCAAGGGAGGGGGGGCTGATGTTGAAGCATAGTGGTGTTGTGTCACTAAGGCCACCAGCCTCCTTTAAATGGTTGCTACGAGGCAGGTATCACCAGCGTGAGAGCAGCACACAGTCACGGTCATGGAGGGAATTAAATGGCAACAAAGAGACAGTTATTCTGCAATCATCTACCCTACTGGGGGCAGGTTATTCTCCAGTAATCAAGTGCTGAGAAGCAAGAGGTCCAGACTGGGAGCTGTGATCACGAGAGCATGGTGGTGCTGGGAGGTGGAGTCATTACCACACCCTCAGTTCACAGAGCTGCGGTCCAGAGACCAAAGCTGCTGGGAGTTCAGCAATCATTTAGCTAAACCTCATCATTTATTGGGGGGGCAGACTGGGAGGCGGCTAGAAACCATTTACCAAAAAAACAGAAATGTTTATATTCAGCCCTATTGGGTTAAGATCCTACAGAACCAGGACTTTGGCTGCAGGTCCAGCTGAAGAAAAGACCTAGTCTATAGACTCTGATGGCTCCAAGTCCGGCAGACTGGACGGAGAACATTGGTGGACATCAGTCTTCAACTGTCTCAGATTCTTCGTTATATTTGACTGTAAACTTTGACTATGCCGTTCTTATTCACGGGTATGCTTTGGCTAAAGTATTCAGTGTTTGTTTGTTCCTCTAGATGACCTGATGGTTGATCTATTAGCCTAACCCTTCTTCATTTATAATAAGTCTGTGATTTCATTTA